CTTGTTGAACCATTTGATGGTGTCAGGGACTTTTGTGGCAAGAATTTTTATATCTGGGACTTCAACAGAAGAGGATGGAGCACCTGTAGGAGCAGATGCCAGGCTCTTTCTCTACAGAAGTTGCTTCCCAGGATGATGGTTGCAGAGATTGGGCTGAAAGCATTGCTATTCCAAAGACTCTTTGGTTCAAGGTTCTGGGCTGTCTACATTGTGGTTTGAGATGAGATTGAGGTAAGACTTTTCAGGCACATGTTGCCCCCTGTTTCTCCCTCGGGGTACCTGGTTGCTTCAGCAAGGCTGCCTTGTCTGTCCTATGAGTGGCAGTTGGTGGGGATGGCTGGGCCCTTCTCCACAGGAGTCACTTCCTTGGATGATGGTTTTGAGGGCTGGGCTGGATTACTTGAGATGACTTTGCTCGTGTGTTTGTGCTTATGTTCCTCTCTGCTATGTATTTCCTGGAGGAGGTTTTGTGTACTTTGCTATAATGTAAGCTGCTGTAGGTGTTAAGGCATTGCATATACCAGAGTCTTGGACGCTGTGTTACAAGGTCAATGATGGCTGCTGTGTCCTTGACATCTCAGAACCACAGACTCTCAAGAACTGTTGGGTACCGCAGATCTGATCTAATCCAACTCATACTGAAAGAAGAATTTCCCCCACCATTCCACTACTTGAAGATGCCCAAGTAAAGGGGAGACCAGCACCTTCCAAGATAACCTGTTCCACTTTTGGATGGGGGGAAAGAGATGATAAACATTTATTAAGCATCTACCATGTGACAGTCACTGTGCTAAGTGCTTTACCAATATTATTTTATTTGATCTTTACATTATCTATTATTATACCCATTTGACAGATAAAGAAACTGAGGGAGACAGGTCAAATGACTTATCTGGGATCACACAGCTAATGATGACTTCAGTCCCAGCATGTTATCTAATGCATCACCTCGCTGCCTCGAAAAGTTGGGAAGCTTTTCTTTATACCCCAAGCCTAAATGTGCCTCTGTAATTTTCATCCACTGCTCCAAATTTTGCCCTCTGAATAGAACAAATATAATCATTCCTCCATATAGCCACTCTTCAAGTATTTGAAGATAACTGTCATGTTCACTTCTCTCCCAAGTTTTCTCTTCTCTAGGCTAAACATCATGATGATCCTATGTAATCAGGAATCATTAATTCCATCACCATCCCGGGTGCACTCCTGTCCATGTCCTTCCTAAAATATGATGTTCCTGAAGTGGTCTGACCAGGGTAGAGTACAGTGAAATGATTACTTTACTCATTCTTCATCCTATGCTTCTCCAAGTATAGCTTAAAACTGAGTTAGCTTTTATTTTTGCTTACCTGCATATTACACTGGCTAATTTTGATCTTGTAGTTCATATAAACTTTCTAAACCCTTCAACTCTTTTCTTCAAGGCACTCTAATCAGAGGTTTCCAGACCCTTAGGTCAGAAATTGCTGGACCTTTACAAAGCATTCATGAAGGAGAATTAGGAAATGCATGCCTTGTCCTGGTTCCCCCAAATGATGATAATATTTGTAAAGTGTTTAGCACAGTGACTGGCACATAGTAGGTGCTTAATAAATATTTATTCCTTTTCCCTCCCTTCCCCTATCCCATCAACCTCCTTTACTCCCCCCAACCCTGACTCAGCTGCTTAGGTTTTCTGCCCACTCTAATTTATTTCAGTCACTTGCCAAGTGTTCCTATGCTTAGTTTCATGGCTGACCATGCCACATCCTCCTAAGGTAAACTCTCTCCTTTGGTTTTCTCGGATGAAAGATAAGAAGGATAATATTGACCTGTCTAGAGATGTCTGTGAGTATGACTAGAATATATACATATTAGATAATGCAAAATACCCCAGCCATGATTTTTAAAAAAATCAATGTTAGATATAGAATTAAGTGCATTCTTTTATACCCACAGATGATCATGGTGGCTCAAGCAAAAGCCACCTAGGAGCATATTTGGAAACTCTTCATAAATCAAGTGGATTAGCCTTTGAGAGCATTTCAAAGCCATCAGAAAATAGAGATGATACATTCTTAATGGCATAAACCCTATTAGCATCCACTTCTGCATAATGTTCATCATGGTGATTAGAATTGCTAATTTCCTACAGCAATCATAATTTTCCTTAATCTTCTATCGTATTTTCTATAAAGTAAATCTTGAGGATAGTTAAACCTGGAAGCCCCGTGGGTTATAACAGTAAGAAAACAATACAACCAGTTATTGGTCAGTGGGTCTAGATGGGTTACTTGGGACAAGGAAAACTTCCTGGTTTTAGACAGGACAGTAACTATTCTGCTGCCACTGGATTTGGATTAAAGGCACGAATGTACTATTCTTGTCTTATTTTTCACTTGTTTAAGGGTATATTTGACATTCTATAATGGCAGATAAAACTACAGACGAGCATTTGCCTCAGACTTCTGATCACCTCAGTTTTTCATTGAAAGAACTTTTTTTGTTGAAAGGGAGAATGGCACTTCATATATTGTGGTAGCTCATTCCATGGTCCTCAAATCGTTCATTTCAACTCCCATGTCATTCTTCGTTTTGTGGGAATGAAATATTTGAGAAATGCTTAGAAGTAGGGCAGTTGGACAAGGAAGGCTGGAACAGGGATTTAGAATATGGGATCAGAAGTCTGTCTCTTAGATGTTAATTTTGGGATTTTAGCTTTGCTACTCATTTACTATGCTACCTATCCAGTAACTTAGCTCTCTACAAGATTCTTTAATGGTCCAGGATGCAAAGGTGTCATGTTAATTACCCAATACAGGCCAAATAAGCGAGAGTTGATATGTTCCTTTTGTTTATTTGTTGGTTCCATACTGGTTACTTATACAGAGACACTAAAAGCTCTGAGAGTTATTGGTTTCACTGTCAAAAGTGCCTCTGAACTGAAAGGACACCTAAAAACTAGAGGCGGACACATGCATTAATCATACATTAATCAACTAGCATTTGTTAAACATTTAGTATGTGCCAGGCATTGTGTTAGGTGCTATATCCTACAGTACATATGGTCTCACATTGTTCTTGAGGTAGTTTCAGAGCAGGGGATCTTACCCTGGAGGTCATGAACTCTTTAAAGACCCCCACAATATTTTGATATACAAGTTGTTTCCTTTGCAATCCTATGTATTTTATTTTATGCATTTAAAAACATTTTGCTGAGAAGGACTCCATAGGCTTCACCAGATGGCCAAATGGGTTCATTCTACAGAAAAGGTGAAAAATCCCTGTTTTAGAGGGAGCTGGGTTTGTTCGGAACCTTGCATGTCACCAACTTTAATGGAGGTCTCATCTCTGATTCTTACAGTCCTTTGCTTTCATCTAGGCTCAACTCAGATGCTACCTCCTATACAATACTTCATCTCATCACCCTCGATGTCATCGTACTTTTCTTTCTCCATTAATCTTCTATTTACTTGCTTTGTAAATGATGCATCCCCTGCTCAATAGTGTATGGATTCCTTGAGAGCAGGAACTGACTTTCCTCTTGTCTTTGCATCCCGAGATCCTACTAAATAATAACAATAATAATTTATATAGCACTTTAAAGATTGAAAGTGCTTAACATACATTATCCAATTTGATCCTCACAATAACTCTGAGAGGTAAGTAATATTATTATACTTATTTTACAGATGAGGAAACTGAGGCTGAGACAGGTTTAAATGATTCACCCAGAATGGCAAATCTAATAAGGCAGGATTTAAACTGAGGTCTTCCTGACTCCAAGTCTAACACTCTATCCACTGTGCTAACCAGTTATCTGGCATTTCCTCAGGATTTGCATTCAAATCTTGCCTTAGATACTTCTTAGATGTGAGCCTGGATGAGTTACTTAACTTGTTTGCCTCAGTTTCCTCAACTGTAAAGTGGGGGGTAATAGCATGTATTTCACAGGGTCATTGTGAGTGTCAAATGAGATAATATTTGTAAAGTGCTAAACACAGTACCTAGCATATAGAAGGTGTATATAAATGTTATTCCCTTCCCTGTCATGAATTGCCTTACATGTGGGATGGGATTGCCTTGTTACTTCACTGGTATATGCAACTCCCAGTGAGGAAATCCCACCTTCCATTACAGATCAGTACCTTCTGTGTAAATTATAGTCTTAGAGAGTTACTGGGGAAATAGTGAGAGTTGAAATAATTTACCCACAGTCATATACCAGACTGTGTCAGAGTTGGTCCTTGAACCCAGTACTTCCTGACTCAGAGACCAACTCTCTATCCACTCTGCCTCATTGCTTAGAACTTTATAATGTAAATTCCTTGAGGGCAAGAACTGTTTTTGTCTTTCTTTGTATCTTCAGAGCTTAGCATAGTGCCTGGTGTGTAGTAAGAGCTTAATAAATGCATGTTGACTGATCCATTGATGCTTAATAAATGCTTATTGAGTAGAAAGAAATGACAAATGTTGCCAAAGTAATTTAGAACACTTACTAAAGGCAGATCCATGATGGGGTGTAATGAGATTTCAGAAAGTAGAGCCACACTTTCCCTATTCTCTTATCCTCCTTAACAGTTATTTCTCCTGCCATGCTTTGTCCCAGAAGCTTGGATTTGAACTAATCTAACTCCATGGAAAATCAAATATGAAAGGACATGTTGCTAGCACTTCTGTTGGACAACAAGGTTAATACCCACTATATATGTGAAACCTATTGAATCAGACTTTTATCCTATGTAGTTACTATATTTAAAGGGGGCATTATTCGACCTATAGTGTATCTAAATCTATGGAATAATATAATAATAATGCCTCTGTCCTACAAGAATTTTATAGTAGGGACAATAGCTGAAGGTAGAGGTCATCACAGCCATCAACGTTTGCCCTGTTTTATAATTTATTGCTTGAGCCCCGTACCTACTGTACATGAATATGAAGGTTATAGAGATAATCTACAGGCTAGTTTTTTTTTTTTAAGTTTTAAATTTACTCTTTGGACCCAGGAGCTGTCTTACCTTTGAGTAAAGCTGTCAGGATTGCTAAATCAATGTCCTGATGCCCTTCTGATCCCATTCGAAATACGGTAATCTGCAATTTAAAACAAGGTGGCCATTAGCGATCTATTTTATGCCCAGTCAAAAAACCAAATCAATGCAACCACATCTGAATTCAGACAACCTTGACGTCTATAAAGCTATTTTCTTACCACAGAGCAGTCACACACAGCAAGTGTGCTTGATGGCGCAAACATGACTAGACTTGCTTTAGCAATTCATTAAATGAAGGTGCAAGTGTAGAAGCTGGACAAAGATTTCCTGGTGGCCCAAGACCACTTTTAAAAGGGATGGGATCCAGTATCCTTCTTATTAAAATGGAATGATTATTTTGGATTTGTTTAAATTAGGGAAAGGCCAAAGTCCAAGGAAGATACCCCCTTTTAAAGATTCACTTTTTGTTTTTTTTGTTGTTGTTGTTGTTTTTAGGCAATTGGGGTTAAGTGATTTGCCCAGGGTCACACAGCTAGTAAGTGTCAAGTGTTTGGTCTGAGGCTGGATTTGAACTCAGGTCCTACTGACTTCAGGGCTGGTGCTCTATCCACTGTGCCACCTAGCTGCCCCTAAAGATTCACTTTTCAAATCACTGATTTCAAGATTACAATTATGAACAAATTGAACCATACACTATTAACAGACATAAGTATTAGGAATTGCTGCTTAGTATGTTCTCCACTACAGGACCCTACATTGTGCGTAGGTATGTGCTTGTGGTATATATGCCTCAGGGCATTGAGACAGCTAGTGGTCCAGTGGATAGAATGTTGGGTCTGGAGTCAGGAAGACCTGAGTTCAAATCCAACCTCTGACACTTACTAGCTGTGGGACCCTGGGCAAGTCACTTAATCCTTGTCTGCCATGGCTTTTTCAATTGTAAAATAAGGACAATAACAGTGATAGTTATGAGAATCAAATGAGCTGATATTTGTAAAAAAGTGCTTAGCACAGAGCCTGGCACATGGTAGGTGTTATGTAAATATGCTTGTTTCCTTTCCCTTGAAACTGTGAAAAGAAAAATAAACATATAGAATAAATTGAGAGCTGGAAAGAACTCCAGAGAGCCCCTCATTTAATTCCCTTTATACAACTGAGGAAACTGAAGCCTTGAAAGGTAAAGTGATTTTCCCTGGGTCATTTAGGTAGCATGTCCAGGATTCAAACCCAGGGATATTCCAAATCCTACAACATAGTACCACCATCCCAAATGTAGATTTGAGTTTATCTTTTTTAATAGTTAAATATTTATAGTCTAGGTAACTGGGTAGCATAGAAAGCTGGACTTTGAATCAGGGAGACGTGAGTTTGAAGCCTCCCTCAGACACTAGCTGTGTGACTCTGAGCAAGTCATTGAATGCTCTTAGCCTTGGGTTCCTCATCTGTAAAATGAGGATAATAATAGTGCCCACCTCATACGATTATTTTGAGGCTCACATGAGATAAATAAATTTGTCGTTTAGTTGTTTTTCAGTTGTGTCAGACTTTTCATGACCCCATTTGGGATTTTCTTGGCAAAGATACTGGAGTGGTTTGCCATATCTTCCTTGCTCATTTTACAGATGAGGAAACGGAGGTGAACAGGGTTGAGTGACTTGCTCAGGCCAGATTTGAACTCAAGAAGATGAGTCTTCCTGACTCCAGGCCTGGCACTTTATCCACTGTACCATCTAGCTGCCCAATATAAGTAAAGCACTAGTAATTGCTATTATTTTTAACTATGTGATTGGGGTCAAGTCACTTGACCCTTCCGAGTTAATAAACCTTGCATTATCTACCCTAAATGGTTTTTATGAGTATGAAATGAGAAAATGTAAGTAAAAGAACTTTTAACTATAAAAATACTATGTAAACGTAAAGGATTATCACTTTAGGGCTATAATACAGTAGTGTTTCTCTTAAGATTTTGTGAACCTGAGATTCTGTCATGGCTCTCCTCGAAATCCTTCAGTATCACCCCTAAACCTCTCATGAACTAAGTGTAGCAGGTTTGAAGGGGAATTACAGAGGGGAAAAGCAGATAATAAAGTATCTCTAACCGGCCTTTCCAGGCTTATCTGACATTACTCCTCTTCATGCTCTTGACATGACAGTCAAACAGGACTCCTGACTATTCTCTAACTCAACATTTGACTTCTTGCCTCTGTACATTCATACTGCTGTCCCCCATGTCTGTTATGCTTCCTTCTAAACCCTCCTCATCTGTCTTTGACATTTCAGCTCAGGTGTTAACTCTTCCCTGAAGCTGTCCCTCATCTCCCCCATGATTAGTGCTCTCTTTCCTTAAATTGCTTTGTATTATATATTTAATATTATTTTGTATATGTTTTATCCTTTCAGTAGAAGAGAAGGTATTTGAGGACAGGGACTGCTGTTTTTCTTTCTGTGTTACCTTGTCTGTAGGAGGTAAAGAATTGTAATTAACATTGAGAACTGGCCTTGGCTGAGGGATGCCAGCATTTGTGAGAAAGGGGTGTGCTTGCTATCATTCTGAGGACAAACTGCCTCCCTCCAGATAATGCAATAGTTTCTGGCTGCCACTGCCAGGGCTCTCTTGTCTTTTCTAGGATCTGCCTTTCTCCTCTCCAAATTCCTGTAAGGCTGAGAACAGCACTCATCATCCTCTCCCAATGTGATGGGCCCCTTCTCAGTCATCCAAGTGTCACTATATCCATGGCTGTACTGAATTTTTCCCAGACACAGTTGTACTATGTTCTGAGTGAGCATTTATTAAATATTTAATTTATCATATTATGCATTAAATTTGTCATAGATAAAATATTTAATTTGTTATATATTAGTGTTTATTTTATTATATTATGCAGTAAATATTATATATCATTATATATTATATTATATGATATATTATTGAACTGATGTACAAAGGAAGAAGGTGAGAATGAGAGACATAGTGTGGTATTGTAGAAAGGGCATCAAAGTTGGGTTCAAAGCCCTTCCTAACTTAGCTCCCTCCTACCTTCCCAGTCTTCTTACACTCGACACTTCTTCCCCTTCCCAATGTACCCTATGATCTGGCCTGCTAGCTGTTCTTCAAACAAGACCCTCCAATTCCCAACTCAGAGCATTTTCAGTGACTGTCACCTGGAATGTTCTCCCTCATCTCCACCTCCTGGCTTCCTTCAAATCTGAGCTAAAATCCCACCTTCCATAGGAAGCATTCCCCAAACCCTCTTAATTCCACAATGTCTTTCCTCTACTGATTATTTCCAATTTATCCTGTATATAAGGCTTGTTTGTACATAGTTTTTTGCATGTTGTCTCTCCCATTAGACTGTGAGCTCCTTGAGAGCAGGTCTGTCTTTTGCCTTTCCTTCTATCTACAGTACTTAGCCTAGTGTCTGGAACATAATAGGCACTTAATAAATATTTATTACCTGAGTGACTTCTTTTTAGTTGAGCAATAATCTTTAAAAAAGTCACTTAATCACTCAACCTTAATTCTTCTCTGTATAAAATGAGTATGCTAATACTTAGCACTACATATATCATGAGGTTTTGTTTTTGTTTCTTTTTGAGGAAAGCACTTGGTAAATCTTAACATGATATATAAATATGGTCTATTAATGAGGAAGGTAATAAGTGCTGTACTCTGAAGAATCAATTAGATCTTGCTAATTTAATTGCTGACAGGACAGAAGGGATCAGGGAGAGTCTCTACTGGAGGCAGCAGTGTTTGCTAACAGGGCATGCTACTGCTATCAAACATCTGTTCAGCATTTTATGAGTACCTCTGCTTTGGTGATGCTATATGGTTTCAATTCAATTAAATAAATGTTTATTAAGTACTTACTATATGCAAGTTACTGGGGATAAAACAGTTCCTGCCCTCAAGTAGCATACTGGGGAGTGGGTGGGGATACAACATGAGCAGAGAAGAACATAATGCAGGGTGGAGAGTGAAGAAAAGGTAGAGGAAAGATCAGATGAAGAGATCAAAGAATATCTAAGGAAGATGAGAGCACTGATGGCTGGGGTTGGGGGTAAGGGACTCGGGGCAGGCTTCCCAGAGAAAGTGGCACCTGAGCTGAGCCATGCTATTAAAGATATTCTCACAGGTCTAGACTAAAAGAATAAAGTAAGCATAATTGGTAAATTAAATATCTTGACTGCCTCAAATCCAGTATCCAAAGGTTAATAAAATACTTTGCATTTTGAATACATCCAAACTAGTTATTTGGTTATTAATTACATACAAATGAATTGAAGATTAATTAAATATTGTTAACTAATTAAATTAAAAAACTTTATTAATAACACCCACTGGCCATGGAATCTTGGATGAGATAAAGACAGAACAATTAATGAAAATAGCTTAGCTATGTTCATCTTAGTTCAGAAAGTTACCTTAATGATTATTTTTGGTATTTATACAGCATTTTAAGACTGCCAAAGTACTTAATAGGCATTATCTTAGGTAATCCCAAGGACAACACTGGGAAGTAGCTACTAGACTTATGCTTATTACCGCTATTTTAAAGCTGAAGGAATGAGTGTCAGTGAGATTAAATCACTTGACCATGGTCAAACAGTTAATGTTAGAGGTAGAATTCAAACCCAAGAGTCTTCTGACTCCAAGCCCACCAGTTTCCCCACTTAAGCCACATTGTCTTTTTTAGGACCTTAAGTCACTGGTTAAGCACAGAAAGTAGTAAAGAAAGATTCTCAGAACATCATTAATCAGTGGGAAGAAAAAGAGAGTATTATATTGGGGAAAGGAATAAGAATTTGTATAGTACCTACTCTGTGCCAGGCACTGTGCTAAATGCTTTACAAATATTATCTCATTTGATCTTTACAACAACTCCAGGAGGCAGGTACTGTTATCCCCATTTTATAGATGAGTAAACTGGGATAAATAGAGGTTAAATGACTTGCCCAAGGTCACACAGCTAGTAAGTGTCTGATGCTGGATTTGAACTCAGGTCTTTCTAACTGCAGTCTTTGCTCTCCCTCTATCCACCATGCCTCCTAACTACCTCAAATCAGGGAAACTCACATGTTATGGAAATGGGGAAGGTC